GTCATTGGAACCACAAGGCCAACTAAATAACACAGTCCCCAATGACATTGTGTTCTGTCCTACTTTAATAAATAGTATCTGGGGTCTTAAAAGCTACTAGCCAGTGACTACCTAAGGTTTTACCTCTCCTTTCTTGGAGTAAGTAGGTTGATAAAATTCAAAGACTATCTCTCAGTTCAAAATCAAACATCAGATCCAAATTGGAGCATGTGAAATTTAGTCCTTGAGATCCTGAGACCAGAATTAGGTGATACCTGGCTACCACTGCTGACTATTCTAAAGAGGATAACGTAGAAGGTCACACCGGTAAGAGCTCCGGTGGCCTAGTCTGTAGGGAGTTGTGCCGCCATCCTGAACATTGTCTGGTGGTTGAAATCTACCAGCAGGTACCTGGGAAAAAGATGAGATAGGAACTCTCTTCCCATGAGATTTATGGCCTCTAAAAATCCAAGGAGGGCCAACCATGAGTCTGTTTCAGCACATATTTACCACAGTTTGTTGTGATCCACACAGTTGAATGCCTTTTTATAGTCAATGAAACATAGACCTTTCCTCTGGTACTCTCTGCTCTCAGCCAAGATCCATCTTACATTGTTAGTGATGTCCATACCATAAGCTCTTCTAAACTTGTATTTCTAACAGTATTTTGTCAATGTTCCAGTCATTTTTTTATAATGTTTAGCAAGATTTTCCTTGCATATGGTATTCATGACATTGTTTAATAATTTCCACACTCTGTTGGATCACCAGGTTCTAAAACCCAGAACTTCCCATAACTTATTTGGGTCAAGGGTCTTCTCCTGACTGTCCCTGTAGGATTTGGGGGGGGGGGTGGTATCATGTTTTTTGAAATGGGAATAAATATGGATCTCTTCAGTCAGTTGGCCAAGTACTCCAGATTTCTTGGCACAGCCAGGTGAACATTTCCAGGGCTGCATCTGTTTGTGGAAATATGTACTCTATCAGTTTCTGGGGCCTTATTTTTTGTCAATTCCTTCAAAGTACCTTGAACTTCCTCTTTCATCACTGTTTCCTCTTGATTATGTCTTATTTCATTAAATTTTTATGCTTTAGCCAATTCTTTTTGTTACAGTGATCCTTCTACTTTCTTTTGATGTTTCCTAGATCATTCAGTATTCTTCTCATAACATCTTTAAGTATTGCAACTCAAGACTTGAATTTGTTCTTCAGTTCCTTCAGCTTACAAAATATCAAGCAAGTTCACTTGAGACCTTTTGATTTTCTGACTCTAACTCTTTGTACATTTCCTTAGAATACTTTGCCTTATCTTCATGAGCTGCCCTTTGAAATTTTCTGTTCAGCTCCTTAACTTACTGAATTTTTCCATTTGCTCTGTCGTTTCAGTGTTGTAGTATTCAGCAATATTCAGAGTCTCTTCTGACATCCATCTCAGCTTTTCTTCCTCTTCTGTTTTTGTAATGACCTTTTGCATTGTTCATGGATGATATTCGTGATATCCTCCCACAGCTCATCTGGACTTCATTCATTAGTGCTCAAGGCCTCAAACCTGTCCTTCAGTTGGTTTCTAAATTCAAGTGGGATATACTCAAGGTTAAATTTTGGTTCAAATTTACAATTTTTTTTTTTGCTTTAATTTGAACTTGCACATGAGTAGTTGATGGCTTGTTCCACAGTCAGCAGCTGGTTTAGTTTTAAGAGCTGATAATGAACATCTCCGATGATTATGTCCACATATGTAATCAGTCTGATTCCTGTATAAACCATCAGGTGAGGTCCACATGTATAGCTGCCATTTTTATTTTTTAAATAAAAGGTATTTGGAATTAATTAATCATTAATTGCATAAAATTTTGTCATTCTATATCCAGCCTCATTTCTGTCACTAAGTCCGTATTTTTCAACTACTGATTCTTCTTCCTTATTTCCAATTTTTACATTCCATTCACTCTATTATTAATGCATCTTGGTTGCATATTCAGTTGATTTCCAACTGCAAAAGTTGGTAGAAATGCTCTATTTTCTCCCTTTAGCTCAAGTTATTGGTACATATATTTGAATGATAATGGTATTAACATCATATGGATATTATCCTGTCATTCACTACATTGTATTTCAGGAGGATCTAGAAATGGTCTAATGGTCTTTTTCACTCTGAATACAACCTAATTTTCCTCACTTTTTCGTTTCCAGCATAGTAGATCATATGATTGTCTGATTCCAGAATGGCCCATTCCAATCCATCTCAGCTTGCCAGTGCCTAGTATGTCAGTATTTTTGTGTTCCATTTATTCTTTAACAATGTCCTAGTTTCCTGCATTAATACTTCTCACATTTGACATTTCAATCACTAGAATCAATGTATGATATAAAAGGAGCTCTGGTGGCCTAGTGATAAGAATGTAAAATGCAATCCCAAAGATGTGTGGTTCGAATCTACCAGCTGTTCATAAGGATATGATAAATAATATTTTTAAAATACTGTTTTACCATTACTGTGTTGTGTAAATGGTTATCCCAATTTTGTATTAGTGTTTTTGATCTGTGAGAGACTGCTGGCATTGTTGTTGTTCTTTAAAGAGATGTTTGATTACCTCGAGTCTCTTTCCATATAAAGCTGATGATTTGTTTTTCCATTTCCTTAATGATAATCAAATCTGATTAGGATAGAATTTACTTTGAGCAGTATTGATATTTTCACAAGATGAAGTATTCCAGTCCATGAGCATGGTTTGTTTTTCTGTTTATGTAATCTCTTTTGGTTTCTTTTAATAATTTTTTTTTCCTTTTCTTTGGTAAGGATTTTGGGTCTTTGGTTAGGTTTATTCAATATGTAAGTATTTTATCTTTCAAGTGACTACTGTAAATATTATTTTCTTCCTGATTTTTAAAAAAATTCCTCTGTTTATCTCTTGTAGCTGTCACTTTTCTGAATCCTTGTGTTCTTTTCAGTGGCTTTCTTATCCCATTTCTCGGATTACAGTGATAGTTTTACTTTCTATATGTTATTAGATGGAGGGCTGGTCAAAGGGAGATAGATGTGAAGGGAGGGGGTAGAAGTGGATGGGTATCCTGGTGGATGGTGGAGCAGGGAAATAAGTGGGTAAAGACGCATGTGAGAAAGCCAGGGACAACACTGACACCAAAGTTAACTCCGCAATAAGGGATATACTTTTAACATGCTGGTCTGTCTGA